CCATTTATATCCTTGTCAGTTCCAAGGCCGAATAAAGTCTTAGACTCTTAGCATGACTCACCGCTGAAAGTCAGCCAAAGAATGATGAAATTATTGAACTAGGCACTATCTCAGAGCTATCTCCTGCCCTGCCCTCTCTTTACAGATCTGGTAGAGAATGTACGTACTATCTAGGGTGGCATTATCTGCCACTTCATGACTAGCCCCAGCCTCACCCTCCACCTCCCTTCCTGGCCACTAGGAAAAGCACCAATCCAGATTCCAAATTTTACCAACTCCAAGAAATAATCATGATCCTGCTTCGTTGTTCATCTGGCCTAAGACGCTCTATGGTGTGCCCTTAGAACGCAGCCTGGGTTTATACTTCTCCTTCTGGGACAGTATTGAGCATACCCTAGGTCTCTGTAAGTTGCCACTACATAGATGCTTCAGGCCACCCTGTGCTAACCCTATCATTTCCCCTTTTACTTTCTGGAGTGGAGGAGTCTGTATCATTCTAGGTTCCTAACAAGGCCTGTCCTTTTCTCTGATCTTTTCTCTGGATTAACCAGTCTTTGCTCCAGCTGATTCTAGCTGAGAAGCATAGACATCAAGTGGGAACACGAGGAAGAGGCCACCAACTGAGCCTCTTCTAAACTGAGCCAGGGTTCTAAACCACAAGAGTAGACGTCATCTCCCACTATAACTTATAAAATCACTTTTCTGTTTCTTTGATTTAGGTATTGAGACAGTCATAGGTATCCCAGGCTGGCCTCAAACTCTGTCTAGCCAAAGATGACCTTGAACTCAGATACTCTTATCCCCACCTCGGGCGTGCTGGGATTTTAGGTACGTGTCACAATGCTTAGCTTGAAGACAGGTTTCTTGAGGCCTTTTGCATGTCATATAATTACCTATTAATGTTCAGCTCAGTAGTTAGTAAATGGGTCAGATGGTGCAGCCATCAGCTGGAAACCGCTTTGAGAAATATCTACCTCCCTTCTACAAGAGCTCTCACTCACTGTTCTCTCCCCATCCGCCCGTCCTTCAGCACAGGGGACACTAGCCTGGTGCCCGTCTCAGTAGCTTGGCCAGCGAGGCAACTCATGTGAAGGGATTCATTGACTCTGAGGTGTCACGTGTCTGACGTCTGTCACTGAGCACCATGGTTTTGAGATTCATCGACAGGTGCTAACTCATTGTCATTTTAACTTACAGTTTTCTCATTGATGATTACTGATGTTGAACATTCATTCATACTCTTGGCTATTTATATGTCTTTTAAAATAATCGCATTTATTTATTTGTTTGTTTGTTTATTTATTTATTATTTGAGGGGCAGGGAGTATGTGTGCCATAAAACAAATACAGAAGTCAGAGGACAACTTGCCAGAATCGGTTCCCTCCCCTCACCACGTGGCTTCAAACTCAGGTCTTAAGGCAAACACCAGCTATGGCCTCTCGCCAGCCAGTTTTCAGATCTCTAACTTCACCAATTGACTCAACTACTACCTGAACCTTCTAGAGACTCAGCACCACCCAAAGAAGGTAACTCCCCACAAACCCTCTGACCTGCATTTCCTCACTACAGAGTAGTTTTCCATTTTAAAAAGGTTTGAAGATTTCTCTGTTGAGAGACTATCAGGTTGTTACAAAATTTTTATCATTAGAAGAACTATGATTACAATAAATAGCCTTATAATGTGTTGAAAGTACAGTGCATCTACTAAATAAATTCCTGGGAATAGAATTTTTGGGGATCAAAGGCATATGCTTTTTTGTATTACAAAATTACAGCGTCTATAATTTAGATAGATAAGGTCAATATTTTTCTTCTATGAGATAGAAATATACAGATGCTTTCTCAAACCCTCACTGGTCTTTGAAAACCAAACTTTAAAAAAAATTAAGCCAATAGGTGAAAAATATCATTTCAGTATGCCTTGAATTTCCTTTCTCTTATTATGAGTAAAGTTGAATGTAGTTTTAATGTTTAAGTGTTTACATTTGAAGTTCTGGTCCACTATAATAAAATTTCAAATTTTGAATTTTGTGCCAGTCACAATAAGAGAAATACTTCGTGGTCACTCTTCCAGGAGGCACCTAGTGTTAATCTCATTGCCCGAGAATAAAACCACCACCACAGTTTAAAGCCAAATTTGAAGCAAATTTTAATTAAATACTGGCCAGGTAAATGGGCTCTGGCCAGGTCCATACCCAGGTTCCTGGGAAAAGGCCCAGAATCACAGTGTACAGTGACTTAAGAAGGAAAACCCATAATTCAATGCATTTCCCATCAGGTCCAATCAGGGGCAATCACATATCCTGACACACCTCCAGCCTGTGAACCTCCCACTCACATGTGGTCAAGCACATCCGGTACAGATGGGTCAAACAAACTTGTTTAGGGGAATGAAAAACATGTGACTTGTTATCTCCCATAAACAACAGCCTCCAGCATTTCAGGAACTATCTGTCCTTGGGCAAGGGGCTTGCAGATCTGAGGAATTTTTGTTTCAAGGATCTCTTAGGCAGTCATTAAAACTTAAAAGGTAACTTTGGCTCTCACACCAGATC